TACCTGCTTAAATGAAGTCCTGTGTGGATGTTTTATATAAGAACACAATTACTATAGGTAAATTCACCTATGGCTCGAAATTCTTTTTTTAAATAATTTATATTAAAGTCATTATAAATCAAAATGAGGTGCTGTATCAGCAATAGATTAATTAACATTAATGGTTTTGTGGAATGAAAGATACTCTTCACGCAGATGGTCTCGCAACAAATTAATTATTTATACTCAGTCCATTGTATTCTCTTCGGTTTAATAAACTTAAATTAGCATAATATAAATCTAAATATTTCAGTACAATCAATTATTTTATTATAAGTGTTATGTATGCGCTAAAATACAGGCTAGTATGACACTAATACGGCATATACACCGGCCAAAAATGGCTCATTTTGGTCAATCGAAAGTGAGAAGCGAATGGCTCATTTGCGCTTGAAATTTTATATACAAGAATGATCCATTCGCATCACATTTTGTATAAATGAGTTCCAACGAGGCTAGAATAAGTTCCAAATATGCTCCAAATGCAAATGAATACATTGAACATATCCTAAATAAAAGCTCCTAATGGCATTTTGACAGTTTGAGAAAGCTGTTTTTGACATATTTACAAAAAAAATAAATAAATGTTTGGTGGTTGCATTTTCTTGGAAACGATGCACCTCTTTTTAAAACTTCTACTTCCTAAAAAGTATTTATAAGTTAGAAATTAGTATAAGTTAGTATAAGTTAGAAATATGTTTTCAGTATATATTTTAAGGTTTGAAGGTATATTTAACCTTCTTGAAAAATTTTTTTGGTACAGGCCGAAAATCAAATCAACAGGCAAGTTGAAAAATCAGCTGTTGAAAATGAGAACAAATGAATTACAACGAATGTAAACACTTTCAAATGGCTTATTCAAGGTGACCCATTTTCGACCAATGTAAACGCCATATAAGACCATTTATTTTGTTTTCCTTAAGTGTCATTTTGAGTGTCATTCTGGAAAGAAAATCCATGAATGACACTTAAAAATGATAGTCGGCAGCGTGCTTTATGCTAGTTCTTTACACTATATACTTAAGGGTACATTACAGATAATTTATGTTATTTTTTAGGTGAGTTACATATATATCAATAAGTAAGCTTATTTTTGGCAATTTAATGAAAATTGTAATTGCAATGAAAATAGTATATTTTTTAGATAATATATAAATTTTTCATTAGTGCTCTTATTTTAATAGTATTCTTCTGCTATAATACTAGTAATATTAGTATTATTAGCTTTATTTTACTTAATTTTAAAATTATTATGTTATGTTTACAGCTATGCCAGCTTAACCGCCTGTCAGAAGTTTAGATTAATCTATTAACTACTTATCATGTACATTCAACAAATATTATTACTAATTACTCAATCACACAATATAAATATTAGATTAAATCACCTTCTGCTATATATTAGGTTATCAATTTATACGAACCAATAAACTAGGGAAGTGAATTCACAATTTTAAAGTCACTGAGTACTTAACTAATTTTATCGAAACACTTCTTCAGAATTTGGGATGTTAATTTAACACTATTTTTTGATATGGTTGCGTTTTTCTCAACGAAGTCTTCTGAATCATCTAGCTTCAGGAGTTTCTCATTCGTAAGCTGTTCTCTGTCATTTCTTCAAAGTTAGCTGACGTCTTCTATAATGTAGTCACCAAAACCAGCCTCTACCGCCGTTTTAACAACATCATCATTTATGTGACGTATGTTTACTATGGAATCTTTAATGCTGTAGCTTTTCTGGCAAATTGTTGTAGGTAATGCGTTTTAAAAGTGTATATGGCAGCTTGATCTATTCCCTGGAGTAAAGCCGTGGTATCTTTCGGCAAAAACTGCATTTTGATTTTTTAGAGAAACTGCAAAACGGAGTAGAGCTTCATAAGATAAATTGTTCTTCTCTAAATATGTTTTACGCTCTGGATAGAAATATGCGTGGAACTATTCTTCAAACAAGTTTTTCCTATTTTCCATTTCGCACTGAGTTAATAGCTTATAAACAACTTTTAACAACTTGCGAGCATTAAAAACACAATGCATAACTAAATAATTGCACATGAAGACACACCTTGATTTAGTACTACTAAAATGCCACCTTTTAATAATTTACTTAGATGCAACTTATGTTATATATACTATACATAAGCAAAATAATATAATAAATAAGTTGTATAATTTTTCTTGGTCGTTAAATGAGGTATTTTTTTGGCTATTAAGCATGGCTGAAGTCGACAATATTTAATTTATTTTACAAAAATCAAATTTTTTTTATCTGATTTTTTTTGGCTATCTGGAATCTACCTAATAATTATGAAATGTGAATTTAAAAACTAAATATAATGATGGCGAACGGTGATGAAATAGGGTACCGAATTAAACACCTTTTTAGGATAATCTTTTAGTCACATCATTACTCCCACCTACTTTAATAGGTTTGAGAAGTGATCCCTCCAAATGTTAAGCATGGTTTGGACATCTATCACGAGATTACCATTTTCATGTTTGTAGTAATTAACTTTGGGTTTATAACCATTCAAACCATATTCCTGTCGTCCAGCGTCTCCAGCTCTTCGTACTCAAGTCTCTCTGCTTCTTTCTTTCTTCGCCTGAAAAGTCAACTCTTTTGCCGATATCGTCCTTTAGCAGTGCGCGTCGTAACTGACCGATTGATATGCTGCGTCATTCTTTGCGGTAGCGTCACGACACTCTAAGCCAAACTAGCTGTTTCCTTGTCTGTGGTTATAGCCAATCACTTCTTCTGCAGCGGTACGCAGTCAAGTAGCAAGGTCATTAGCTGTTTGTTATGGTTGCAACTTTTTAACAATTAGCTTTTACTGTGCCTTTTTCATCGCACATAGACGTATGTGGACCAGATAATGATCCGAATCGATGTTGGCTCCTTGGATGATACGTACATCTAAGACTTCTGTCAGGTGTCACTTAGATGTAACGTGATCAATTTGTGATCTTGTATTTTGATCAGGTGACAGTTATTTTGCCTCATGTATTTCAAGATGCTGGAATCTGATACTACTAAATACCATTTTTCTATCCGCGATGAAATCAATCTACTTTCTTCCATTATTGTTAGTTTTCGTATGAAGACTGAACTTTTCGGTAGTAAAACCAAAGAGAACTTCTTTATACACCCTTGCATTGAAGTTTCCTACAACGATTTTGGCAATTTTTGATGGGGACAGCGTTCACATGCTTGTTCTAGATGTTCATAGAAAGTTCCTTTGGAATTGTCGTCCTTATCTTCCGCCGGAACATGTGCACATATTAGGCTGACGTAAAAAATTGTTTGCCTTAATGCGGATTTTAGCAAGTCTTTCGTTGATTGATGTGATTGAGATCAAATTTATAAACCTTTGGCTTACTAAAAATCGGATTCTAAACTCGCGCTTTGTTGAATGGTAGATGTAGTAGATGTCATAATGTTTTTTTAGAGCATCTTTGACCAGTCCATCGCATTTCCTGAAGAGTGGTAATGTCAGCCTTATCTTTCTTACCGACATAAATCAGTTTTATACATACACCTTCTCTGTGAAGAATTCGAACATTCCTGGTGCATGTTTTTAAATCTTGATCCTTATAATGTTTGCATGTGTCCTCAACAGTAAACGGTTTCATTATGCGACACTGACTCTTTGTTGTTATTGTGTTTTTTCATGGTGGGTTTCAAGCCCGACGCATAACCTCTTATATTCATAATGAAATGATAGTTGAAATTTACTACACGAAAGAAACTTGAAATTTTTCAAGAAAGTGGATTAAAATAGTTGTCCGTATATGAAACCCAACATTTTCCAAGTCTTTTACTTTATTGTAAAAGAAATAATACAATTAATTGAATAAAAGAAGATAACGCAATAAAGTAAAGTAACTAATATTAATTTATGAAATTATTTTATAGCTGCTGAATAATTATGATTTTTAATTATGATACCAAAACAGGCCTATATTTTTCCCGGCAAATCAACAAAAGTTAGCACTTACAGGTCATGAATGAGTTTGTGTCAATTGGCTAATGAACATTGACTTGGAACTTCAAAGTTAGTAGAGTATAAGTTCAAGAAGTAGTAAAGTTCCTGGTAATTACAGTTCCCGAAAATTAGTAATATATAAATAAAAATAAAAAACTTCGCTCGCCAACCCCCGCTTTAGTCATATATATTACATATTACACAATATATATGTGCTTTTAACATTCGCTTGAAAAGACATGAAATTTGTTTCTTGTTTTGAAGTTCCTAAGAAAAATTTGATGTCTCTTCTAAGGAATGATATGTGCAGCTGTGACCACCGATGGACGCTCTCCAATCGTTTTCATCGAACATGGTGTAAAAGTCAATGCGATTTATTATCGAAAAAATCTTTTGGAAGTAGCCTTAGAGCAGTGGGTACGTGCACATTTCGGTCACAGATGGACAAGACTTGGAACGGTTTTGTTTGTAATATTAGCTGTCAAAAATAATCATGTTGCGTTGAAGAGCAATAATTACTAACATGACAGCTAAAATCACAAACAAAACTCTCGTGTGAATCTAGTATTACGCATTTTTGGACCTACCTGGACAGACATCCACACAATCTCCTTGCACAGATGTGCACCATAAGCTCGTACTTATTTTTTAGATCTGTTAAGTAACTGAGCGAATAATGTTTATGTGGCATTAATTTGGGCAAATACAGAGGAGAAGTACAACAAATTTAAAAAATTAAATCAGAAACGATTTTTATTTTTTCGCATATTAATTTAATTTATGCGATAGCTGACAAGTCATATTGAAAAGCAAATCTGAACTTTTTTAGGTAAAAATGGTTGACCCCGTAACATAAGCGACTTAAACATATAATTCATATGTTAACATCACAATTGATATAGTCAACTAACTTTGAACTGGCGACGCTGTCATACATACCTTTGAGAAGTTAAACTGACAGATAAAACTGGCAGTTGTCATTTGAGCTTTTTTCTTGCCAGTTGTCGATTTTTGTTTTGACAAAACTTGAACATGGAATCAATCGGTAAGTATGTAAAATTAATATTATAAGGTTAAATGTTATACGGTTTAACAATATATGGACTTATAAACTTCTGATTAGAATAAAACCACAAAACAAAGCTCAACTATTATGATTACAATTAAGGGCGATTAGAGGTCTCCTATTTTTTCCATGCATTTAAGTTTTGCTTGTTTTGTAGTTTTATTTTGCATCGGGCATACCACGCAAATCATACCATTTGTTTGGTTTGGTACAGATAATGATAATGGTTGTACGCCTTCTTCAAAAGGACCAAAGCCAATGATGAATGAAGCTATGAAAGCACATAATCAAACTTATATTCAGTGCGAAACACCAGAGCCAAATCTGCATACTTCTTTAGTAAAGAAAGGCAGGAATGCACGTCGCATCTTTGTTAGCAATTTACCTGATTGTGTAAATATGTTTAAATTAAAATTTTTCATCAATAAACAAATGCATTTGGGTGGTCTGTCAAAAGAAATTGGAAATTCTGTAATCAGTTGTTACATAAACTGCAGAAGGAAGTTTGCCTTTCTAATCTTCCGATCTGTCGAGGAAGCTGAATCGTCTTTAGACCTCGATGGCGTAGTCTATGAAGGTAAAATTTTAAAAATATGTAGACCACGCAGTTATCGTTTACCACCAGGCGAGATTTCTACTACGCCAATTGTAGCTCCATTGGGTGAGTAATTACAATTAATTTTATTTTTATATCATTCACTATAGTTAAACTTTATTACAGTTATTAGTGGCCTGACATCAACTTTAGTACCCGATTCAGAACATAAAATATTTTTTGGAGGTCTAATAGTTAATGCAAATAACGAAGAGGTATGTCACCCTCGTCGTTTTGTGCACTAAACATTTTTGAAGTAACTCTAAAGGAAATCATAGTGAATAACACGGAATTCGGTCCGGTCGGCACTTTTGAAACTTTTCAGGGCAATTTATCTATAAAATATTTAAAAATTATTTTTTTACAATGCGTAATAAGGTAGTACTTATTACGCATTATTACTGGTAGGAAGAAAAAATATCATAATAAAGTCATTATAAAATTTATTTGCAAGATACGAAAATTTATTTTATTTTTAAAAATCCTAATTTTACCTATTTATTTCATAACAAATGTATATTAATTTTATTTAAAATTACAGTCTTTAAAATAATTATTCCTCACTTCACAGATAAAAACCTTATTTCTCAAATTTGGAGACTTAAAAGCTTTCTTTATGATTCAGGGTCTCGTAAATGGTCGCTTGGAGTGTTACGGCCTAGCTGAATATTTGGATCACACCATTACTGATACCGTGATATAAACTCCACGCTATTACTTATGAATTTAATTTTTAATTGTGATATTTTCGTAGGCCATAGCTTCTCTTCATGGTATAATACATGAAAGAAAGAAAATATTTGTTGCTCGATCAAATCGTATAAAGAAGACTAGAAATAAGGAGAACTCTGGTCCACCAACCAGAGTACTCTGCCTGTTAAACGTAGTATAGCGTGATGAACTACGCGATGGACGAGTTGATATCGAAATATTATACAGTTGTAAGAAAGTGTGGGAAAGCAACAGAGCAATACAAAGCGTAGAAATTCTAGTACCTATTGGAGGTGCTTCTGTACCTGACTGTGACAAAATTTTTATAGAATTTACAAATGTGAACTTTTGTCAATGTATAAAAAGTTTATTCATATTATCACCGTGAATTTTAAGTTATATAGTTTTAGTTTTAAAATCACTAATATATTGATAAAAAAATTATTTAGTTATCTAATTACATTTAGTACATTCCACATAAATTGATTGATAAATTTTAGTTGAATGATCGTCTGTCGTAAAATAATTATTTAAATAAAATAAATCCCAAGTAGCCCAAGTAAAAGTGAACGAGCATGCTTTTGTGGATTTGAGACTTACCACAGCCAAACGAGATGTTGCCAGACTTTTCTAGAGAAACAAGTTCATGTCCCGTTTGGCAGCAATTAGACGATCGAATAATATCGCATGATTCTGCCGTTAATGAAATCAAGCGCCGTTGGCCGAATTCGAGAGGCCGCGGATGTTAACTCCTTTATTTTGTTTATTGTTTTTCGTAATTTTATATAATTTAAAAGTTTATTATTATTTTTTCCTAATGTTTTTATTTTAATTGTTATTTCTTTTTAAACTTTTTATTTTAATTTTTATTTGTAGAATTTTTCGTTTTATTGTTTTATTTTAAAATTGACTACAATTATAAATTGTCAGTTTGATATTCTGGCTATATAACAAATCATGTGAATCATAAAAAAATAATAATTAAATTGGCTATGTTTCGGAATGACACTCACTGCTCTTTTGTATATAATGTGTATTAGTATTACATAATACTAATACTACTAATCCTAACACTAATTAGTACTAGCTTTAGTATATATATATATATATATATATGTAGGATTCCTTTTTATTAGAATCAAAACTAATTAATTAAATTACAAAAAAAATATATATAAATGAAAAAAACTGTTTGTTCTTCCGCACACACGTCATTACTTCACACGTCTTCTTTCTGCACTGCCACACTACGTTTGTTTCTTCTTTTTTACTTCCTTATGCTCGTGTGCTGGCGTTGCCAGATCTGCGTCCCACAATCGGCCATCCTGCGATTCGTTCGACCCGAATGAAGTGTCATTGTCAGCAACTGCCCAAGGCTTCATATACTCTGCGCAACTGCTAGTCCGCTTTGACCCTTCGCTTTTTCCGATTTTTATAACATCATACGTATCGTTTGATTTAACTCTCTCGACCTCGTAAGGTCCTAAGTATTTTGGTTTTAGCTTCAGTCCTCCCGAAAACTGCGTCCTTTTGATTGCGACTACGTCGCCTACTTTGTACTTTACGGCTGGCCTGCGTCTTTGGTTATATGCATTCTTATTTTCTAACTGGATTTTCAGTATTTGTTGCTTTGCGCGTTGCCTCATTTCTTCTCGGTCTTCATTAAAAATCGTTGTAATTTCCTCTTCGATAATTTTTTTGATCTGAATATCTTCCTTTGTTTGCATTTTAGCACCAATTAATAATTCAAAAGGCGTCGTTCCAGTACTTCTGCAATACGTGGAGTTTATTATCTGCTGCACTTTGTCAACATTTTTATACCATTTAGTTGGATCTGCCATGCTTAATTTTGCCAAAACTGGTGCAATTATGCTATTCAATCTTTCGACTTGTCCGTTGGCCCTGGCTAAGCCCGTAGTAATTTTGATGTGTTTAATACTTTCACCCTCGCAATACTTACGAAAATCATCTGAAGAGAAAGCAGCACCTCGGTCTGATATTATTTGATTAGGATTACCAAAAACTATGCTTTGCGTACGCAATCGGGATATAGCCTCGTTAGCTGATGTGGTTCGAGTTGGATATATCCAACAGAATTTAGTAAAAGAGTCAATAACGACAAAGATATGCTTATATTGTTTGTTCGTTGATTCTAATGGTCCCAAAAAATCAACATGGTACGTGTGTAATGGTATACTTTCTTTAATCAATGAGTGTAGTTCGCCTTCTTGCTTACCCTGCTTCCGATTCACAACGATACATGGAATACAATTCATAATGTGTTTTTGTATTTTTTCTTCCAATTGAGGTATAAAATAGTCATTTCGGAGTAGTTCACTTGTTTTTTTTTACGGCAAAATGTCCCTTTTCATGTGCATGTCTAATTATTTCACGCTGCATACTCTTAGGTACAACAATAAGTTCTTGGTCATTTCTCAGCTTATACAACAACTCTCCTTTCTTAAAATAATCGTTGTATGAAGATTTTTCTTGTAGAATATCCGATATCGTTTTCAGGTTTTCGTCTTGCATCTGTGCTCTCCGTATTTTAGAAAGAATATTATCTTCATCTATGCACATAACGGCGTAGCGGCTTAAAGCATCAACATGCTTCATTCGCGAACCAACACGATGCTGAACTTCGTAATCGTACTCCTCTAAGAACAATATCCAACGGGCTACTCTCGTGCACAAGTCTTTCTTTCCCAATGTCATCGCAAATGCGTTACAATCAGTAACGAGCTTAAAATGCATACCCAGAATGTATACTCTAAACTTTTTGAAAGCTTCAATAACAGCCAATATTTCTAGTTCGTAACTTGTATATTTTCTTTGTGCGTCAGTGGTTTTTTTACTCATATAATACACAGGATGCCATTGTTCGTCGTCTGGTGATTTTTGCAATAAAACGGCTCCATATCCTTCTATCGAAGCATCTGTATGCACTTCCGTTTCAGATTTTTGATTAAAAATGTTTAGTACCGGTTTTTCGCTTAAGATGGTCTTCAACGTATTAAATGCAGTAATCTGTTCATCTTTTATTTCAAATTTCACATTTTGTTTCCTTAAATCTGTTAAAGGCTTGGCAATTAGCGAGAATTTAGGTATGAATTTTCTAAAATAACTCGCCAACCCAAGAAAACTTTCCAATTGTTTTAATGTTTGCGGCAATTTGTATTTGCGTAGAGCTTCAACCTTAACTTCTGACGGTGATATTTTTTGATCTTGTATTGTGTGCCCTAGAAATTCCACTTTTCTCATTAGAAACTTGCATTTTTTAAAATTCAATTCAAGTCCAAAGTCTGCACACCGCTGTAATACAACTTTTAGGTTTTGTACGGCTTGTTCTTCATTTGCTGCGGGTATAATGATATCATCAACGTATGGTAAAGCTATACCTTCATTAGTTAATTCACGAAATATCGCGTTTATATGTCTTTGAAAAACACCTGGTGAGTTCGACAATCCAAATGGCACTCTACAGAATTGATATTGTCCATTATGTGTAACAAATGACGTGTATTTACGACACAATTCTGCCACGGGCACATGGAAAAATCCATTCTTTAAGTCAATTGTACTGAACACCTTACCACTTTGTAGCCGATCGAGTTGGTCTTCTATTAGTGGCAACGGAAAACGGTCTTTCACCAATACTTTATTAATTCTTCTAAAGTCAATACACAAGCGTGGTGTACCGTCGCGTTTTTTTATCAATACAACTGGGCTACTGAATTCTGACTCCGATCGTTCAATTACACCATTTTTCAACCACTGTTCCACTTGCTCATCCACAATGCACCTCTCCGTGAACGGTAATCTACGCGGCCTAGAATAAATGGGTGTTTCGTCTTTGAGCACTATGTACATCGCCACTTGTGTTGTTTTACATTGATTCGGCTGATAATTTATGATCATTTCACGTACCTGTCGTCTCGCATTCTCACTAGCGGTTTTGTCGATATCAATCGTTTTGTTGTCATTTACTAAGTCAATTTTCATTATTTTAGCTTCTTCGTCTATGGGATCGTCTTCGTCGAGGATTTTACGAACGTTTATACCATCACGATTAAATAAAATTTCAGCGTATAAGCATAGTTCTTCGCCAATGATCACTTGTAAGTCCATGCACCGAATTGGAACGACATAAAAATCTAATATGAACTCATTATCGTCAATTTTAATTAAGTTTTTAAAATGTCCAATCGGTTTAATCCTATTTGAATTGCGATCACTACCGAAACCAATTAAACATACGTTACATTTTTCTAAGATAGGCTTATTCAACTTGTTGTATAAGTCTTCGCGAATTATATTAAATTTACTGCCTGTATCGAATAGGGCTGCGCACTGTAAATTGCCAATAAAAATGGATTTGGTAGTTAAATTGTTTTTTTGCTGTAAACTGCGCGTATTTATTTTGTTTTCGGCTTGTTCACAGTTTTTAGAAATATGTCCGTACTGGTTGCACTTAAAGCATTTAGTACCTCGATTTTTATTTTTGCAATTCATGGACAAATGTCCCTTTTCACCACAATTGTAGCATTTCACTTCTGTTTTATTTGTTGAGAAACTTTTCTTTTCGCTTTGTTTAAAATCGTTAACTTGCTTACTTTTTTCACACATTGTTTCATATGATCTTAATTTGTCTTTAAATTCATTAAGGTTCTTTGCACCATATAGTATCATTTTATT